AAACCTACGTGTTAAATAATGTGAAGTAATCAAGCTCTAAGACTCTAATTAAGTAAGTGTTATATTAGACTTTCCAAAGTCCTTCCCAGGCCCTTCTATGGCGCGCTTCACTTCCTCTGTGGAAAGGACTTTTGTCACTTGCAGCGCGCCAAATATCACCGGTGGAAAAATCCACCGGTGACGTCATTTTTTACATTGAAGGCCGAAGCGGTTACATTATCGGTCATTATCGAAGGAGTTTAACAATAATATTATATTCTCAGGCTCTTTGTTGAACAAATGTGTATTATTGAAGCAAACAGAGTAAACAATGTAATTACAATTTTTTACAACACAAAAATCATGTAAAAATACACAAACAGACATTTAATACATTGAGTATATTAAAAGTACAGGGTGTAGAAATAAACTTTAATACTGCCACCGAAGATGCATCTGATGATTCTAAAATTTCTTCACTAGTTCCGGGTTTAGTTTGGGTTTCTTGATCTCGATTACTGATTATTACAAATTCGCTTGCTGAGAAAACAACGCGTATTTTTACTGGATTTCGAACTCTAGCGACGTCTTCTAGTTGATCACAATCGCCGCCTCTCTGCTTCTTGGTTACAGTTTTCTGATTCTTTTCAATTTATAAATTAACTTCTACTAGCTACGTTAATAAAACGCTGGCGAACTGAGTCAGACTATTCTTGTCGACATAACTACGGCACACATTGTTTAAATAGACAAACAACTGTGAAGCTTCGATACGTTTTTACATGCAGTTGTTTTTGTTGATACATTGAACAGCTTTCGGCGCTTACTTAACTTGGGTCAGTTATTTCGTTTCCACACTTGGTGGGAACTGTTTCATTCGACGGCCAAAAAATATCAATTCTAGTCTAGGGAATGTTTTTGTTTTTGTAGACCCATTGTCGGCGCGGTGAAGTAATTGTATGAAATGTACACACCCTTTTAATATGTCAAAATTATTCGCGCCAAAATTTTTAATGCGATTTAAATTCCTGCAAGCGACACAAGTCGACCACTCGCGACTTCGTCGCTCGGGTCGCGCGCTCCCTCCTTCCCCCATGGTCGACTTGTGGCAAGTCTAGTGTTATATCTGCATGTGCATATCAGTGTTAATGGATATATGATGCATATGCATATCAGTGTTTATGCCGTGGTTTATGCAAATATATATGACTATCTTCGTGTTATAAAATGTGTACTGTGTATCAGAAAAATATTTTTATAAACATTGGTGTAGGCCGAAATTCCGAAAATAAGGCTAAAGCGGTAATTGTCTATACCGCCTGATATACCGTATACGCATTTCCCTGAGGCTGAGAATTTTTGCACATTCATCTGAAAATTTTTATACTTTACTACCTGCAGACCTCCTACCTATCTACAAGTTTCAAATATGATGAACTAGTGAACTAAAAGAATTTTCAAAGATAAATCATCAACAGTTGTAAAGTGAGCATTCAGTCTCTGTTTGGCAGTGTCCATATGTTTACATTGTGATTTGTGGCAACTAGTTACGTTTCAAAATCTATCAACCTTCAATAAACAAGACGCGCACTATTAGTATTAAAATCGGCACAAAGTTTATCAACGTTTGCAAACAACAAATCTGTAAATGGCATATTTTAGAAAAAGATAAAAGCGAAAATATACAAACGTTGACGACTGACCGGTTTGATATGAAAGTATGTTTGAGAGAGAATACCCAACTTCAAACTTTAAAGTATACGATATATTTGTTTCTTGACTTGACTGTTGATAAAATGCTACAGTGCTTTTGTAATTTAAGAGCAAACAGAAATATAAAATAGAAGTTAGCGGGCGCTTCGAACTATGTATCGTAAAATCCCACTCCTAGTATTTGAAATTTGCAGTAACAGGTAACATTTTCAAGCATTTAATTTGATACTTTGCTACTCCCCCTTGGGCAATTAATTTTTGTAGAGTCACGTGACCAGAAAATACCAGGGTCTTTCCCAAAAAGACCCTGGGTACGAGGATGATGAGGTACGACCTGAGTTTCAACATCTTGCTGTTGACGAAATGCAGTGGGGTTCTCTAAGCCACGAAGAAAGAAAGTCCAGACTTGAGATGTACGTAAACAGTGCCATGGATTGCAAGAAAGATCTCTCAAAGTGTAAACGCAAGGACCGTGATGATTCGTCTACCCCGTCGACACCGGTAATCTCAGTGACTGCCTCTCGGACAGGTATCTCAACCATGCCAATGTCGGTCCTTCAAATCCTGTTTGATAAGGCAGACAAACTTGCTAGAACACCAAACAACGTAATACCAAAACCGGGAGTCTCTGACGGGTCTTATGTTGTTGCAGGTTATGGGAACAGAACCCATAGCGTTACCCCAGGGAAAGGAGGATCATTGAAATGTGACAGAAGTTGCATAAATGCTTCCACAGGAATTTGTGAGCACGTTATAGCGGTGGCGCATGTTCGTGGGTCACTGGACGATTTTGTCCAGTGGTTCAAACGAGCCAAGAAAGGTCCAAAATTTATGGACATGGCTCTCGGTAGCGCACCCCAAAACGCCGGGAAAAAGCCGAGTCGGCGGAAGAGAACCATCAAAAAAAGGCTCTTGTTATTGAGGCGGTGGACATGTTTGCTGACAACGATAATGACTTATCGACTCAAGGAATGCCCTCCTTGCTCGTCCAGCAGCAGTCATCATCCGCAGGTGTTCACCAACCTTCGCCTTCTATGCCCCTACAACAGCCATCAATTTTCATGCCCTGTCAAAAAATGTCATCTGCTGTTCCGTTCCAACATCATGTCCCTGCCAGCTCGATCCGACAAGCGCTACCTTCCGCCCAACAAGTGCCTAATGTCGTTTGGTCCCAACAAACAGGAGCAACCGTACCTTCACTACCACTGTTGTCTGTTAATCGAACTTCAGTGGCATCACCTCAACTAACCTTGCACAGAAATGAGCAAGGTACCAGTCTTCCTGCTAGTGCTCGCTTAGTACAGCAACAAAGTTTTTTTCCACCTTCCACCGTTCCCAGTCAAGAGAACTTGTTCAAATTAAAGTGGGTTCCAGGGACCACTGTGTCACGTTGCTATGGTTGCTGCAGGGATATGAAGAACCCTCCCCACTCCATTCCTGATGACCTTGTCGTAGTTTACCGAGATCATCGGCAATATCGTGAAAGAGAATCAGGGTAAACCCGCTTCACTGCAGAACCCCAAAATGTCCATTTTCACCTCAGAATAGCATGCATAAGAGCACGGTATCTGGAATTTCCAGCTAGTGCCCTTGTTGTTCCTCCCAATTTTCGCCAACATTTTCGACAGAAACACGTTGAGAGATTGAACGCGGAGTTTGGATTGACAATTTAGATAAGTGGAAGGCGGATAAGCTTACTTTTCATGGTATTCAAACTCTTCATTAACAGGCTATATAGCATTCAACACTGGTATTTCCGCAGTATTAACTATTAACAATAATCTGACAGCAAGAATGAGACCTGATTAACATAGTTTAGTTCTTATAACTGAAACCACATAATAGTTCTTTAGTTTTCACGAGTTTTCGGTTGTAGCACTAATTTTGATATATTTCATTATAACATTAGTCCAGGTCAAAAACTGCATTTTTAAGAATCATATCGTCTGAAAATGGTTCAGGGTGAAACTCATTCAGTATATAAAAACAAGTGTGCACGTGATAGCTTTGTGCATGCGCATCACCTACACACGTAAAAATCTCGCAACTTGTCAACAAGATGTGTTCGCAACAGGCTTGTAACAAACTTGTCAACAAGTTCTAACAATATTGTTATTTTATCAAGTTGCTACAGGATTGTCACTCACAACTTGTTGACAAGTTGTTGAATTGCAGGACGATAACAAGTTGTTGGAACAACTTGTAACAAGTCCGTTGAGCTCAACAACCTTGTAGCGAGTTGTCAACGGCTTGTTGACAACTTGTCATCAAGCTGGGAACAAGCAGTGCGAACACATCTTGTTGACAAGTTGTTGGAACAGCATTGCTACAAGTCTGCTGCAGGTTTGTTACAACTTGTGCGTTTTTACGTGTGTAGAGCAGTAGATGTTTTGAGAACGTGATACAGTAGAATTTTGCTAACTCGAAGAGTTATTCCATTAAAATGCACCGCAATGGCTTAAATTTTGTGAAACGAAATCGAACACAAATCCCTGTTAACCGAACATGTGCTAACTTGAACAATCTTCGCCTCCCATTCGAGATAGCGAGATTCTACTGTACATTAGATTGCACTTTGCATGTATGATTATTTTAGCAATAAAAGACCGTTTCTGTGGGATATACCGCTGAAACAAAGCTGAATATAAGATGGGAGTCATTCGCGGCTAACAATAAACAGTGCTTGCAATTCAACTTTATTCTATTTACGAAAATAGCTATGAATTATCATAGATCATAATAAATTAAACATAGCAGAATGTGTGCACGATATAAATTTGTTGAATGTATAAAATGGACATTCTCAGCTCGGGTGCTTTTTCGTTTTTTGCAATTTGTACTTTGTAGATACACACATGGCTAGAAATCCAATACAGTATGCGGTTTGACCTGCAGGCTCAAATTTACATAAATTGCGGATTTTCATAAATTAATTACTTGGTATTAAACATTGCGGTTCATTTCTACAAGGAGTTGAACGAGTTAAAGAGTCTTGTTCTGTGCAGCACAGCTGATTTTTATAGCGAGAACAAGACTAAACGCGGCAAATATATTGTGAATATCTAAACTAAAGCCAAAAGGTCAAAACTATATCCTGCGTACATTGAGCTTCATTAGCATATGCGAATGAAGGGCTTGCAATTGCTAATTTCCATTGCAAATAGCAATCTAATAGCGGAATATCATACATGTTTAATACAACAACACTGTAAAAATATATAAGAAACAATTTATATGTAAAATGCCTCTTTATTGACCTTTATTGATGAATTTCGTAAATTGCGAAATTTGATTCCCAACAGAAAGCGAGACAGAAAGTGTATATTTACGAAGCCAAATTTCAAATTTTACCGCTTATTCGCGCTTTTATTTCTGCATCCACGATCAAATAAACGTTGCAGCGGTAAACACCATGAAAACCATAACAACAGTTCTAAAATGGCGACAAGAAAGCATTGTATTGCTTCGATTTTCATGTCGTGTTCAGTGTTTATGTCGGCGCTTGGTCGATCGATTGACAACGACTCTGCGGCACTAAATCGCACTTTTTTATGGCGTTTGGGAACCTACTTAAAGACGAAGATACGTCCCAAAAGGCTTCGCAATACAAAGAATAAATATTCTCGAGTAGATTTAGACGTGCACATTACAGCCAAACCAACTGATTATTCCAAAATAAAGGCTTACTTTGGCCAACTTTGGCCAATTATTGGGATTTAATAGACACTTGTATGGGGAATAAGAGGTAAGAAGCTATCGAGCTAGGGAACTCATTTGGCCTTGTCAGTTTGTAGCGATATTTGTTCTAATTAATATTTGTGTTATATACTGACGTTTTAGACGTGCACATGTGAGAATTTGTAAGGTTATAAAACAAAAAAACAGAAATATAGTTTTTCCTCTATCAATTCTATAGATCGGAAGAGCGTTTTGAATTTATTTAATTTGCGCTCTGCATGCATGCTTTTCCGCCATACTGTATTGGATTTCTAGCCATGAAACTTTCGATCCGTGAGGGCTAGAGAGTATAAATTATATTTTTTCACCATGCAAACATACAAAGAACTTATTCGTTTTTTAAATGATTTTTTTTTATGATTGCCGTTCGAGTTCCCACTTCCGTTCCCACTTCAAACTTTCGATCCGTGAGGGCTAGAGAGTATAAATTATATTTTTTCACCATGCAAACATACAAAGAACTTATTCGTTTTTTAAATGATTTTTTTTTATGATTGCCGTTCGAGTTCCCACTTCCGTTCCCACTTCCGTTCCCACTTCCATTCCCATTCTCATTTCCCGATTCCCGGTTCCTTGTTTTAGAGATAGCCCTGGAGGCACAGAGTGCCCCAGCGACTAAATATTAAGTTAAGACCACAAAAATTACAGCTTCTCCTTTGAGTACCACATGTTTGTGCAACACAGGTTTTCAAATGATCAGATCAAAAGCAATTGTCCAATTGAGGCAAACAGAATCAAATCTTGCATATTTTGTGAATGGCCAAATCAAACCGGTTATCCCTTGCCTTTATAGTTTTTTTTCAATAGTTTAAGCTATTAAATCTAAAATACACACATATTAAAAATCATCATTTTTCGTTTGTTTACATATTGCATTCGCTGAATATTAATTTGCCAAATGTGACTATCACACGATATTTACAAATAGAAAATATTCCATTCACTTACCAAGAACTAACACGATTATGCCTGTTCCATCTATAAATTATCTCTTTACATCCCTGTTATATTCTTCTAGTTTCAAACGTATTCTTCAGTAATGCCAACTCTTTCATGCTCGCGGCAATGCTTGACGACGTTTAGGAAGCCTCACTTTCAAATTTGATTTTGAAGTCGTTTTGTACGTTTCACCACGATTTTATATTTAGTGCAATCGTATGTGAACTTTTGTCATTTTAGTAAGTTGTAGCGGCAAATTGTAATATAATCTATAGTATTTGTTTACGCTCGCGTTCTTGAGTCCCAGGTCCCCAAGCACCATGGATTTTTTTACATCGCCTTTTATCAGAAATTGCATTGCAAGTTGCAGATT